TGCAGTCTCGTTGCCTGGGATGTTATAATGACCAGGAACCCAACAGAGCTTGATGGGCAACCCAGTGTTTTCCCAAGGCTTTCCTGCAGTTCAAAACAGCCCTAGACTTAATAGTAAAGGAATTTAAGGTCTTCAGTGCCGCTTGACTATCGACATATATGGTCACCGGACCGCTGACCTCAGTATTCCTCGTGACCAGCAGGTCTGTGGCCTTTTTGACCGCAAAGATTCCTGCCTAAAATACGTTACAGTTGTTTCCAAGCTTGTAGGATTCACGAACACTAGGGGAATAACAGAAGACACCAGAGCTCCCGTTATGGGCCCAGGCGTCTCTGTTAGGTATGTGCATGTCAGGTGGGTTTTTGGGACTTCCCAGGCCAATTTTCAATTTATGGTCTTCAATTGGAATGTGACTCACTTAGGCCGGCCGTTGCAAATCTCTTTTTTAGACATCTTTGAGTTTTTAGCCTCTATTCCCACATAGTGTATGGCACAAAAAGTTCGAGCTAACCGAACTGAATGGCCATTTTTATACCCTACACCACATAATGGTAAGGGTATTATGTCTTTGTGAGAAGGAAACGAGATAGACCCATAGTTACTTTTGAGAACCTTCATAGAATCACTTTCTGAGTCGATTTATGCATGTCAGTCCGTCTGTCCGTCCGTCCGTCCGTCCGTCCGTCCGTCTGTCCATGTATTCTTGTGAACAAAATACAGGTCGCATTTATTATCCGATTGAGATGAAATTTTCCAAACAATATGTTTTTGGCCCAAGGACGAACCCTATTGAAATTGGTGAGAATCGGATCAAATTTAGATATAGCTCCCATATATCTTCATCCGATTTCGGGTTAAATGTGCACCAAATGTCCACTATCAGTCCAAATTACCTGAATTTTGGCACACCCAACCGAGTTCGGCCTAGAAGCAAGTATATCAAATTTGGAGAAAATCGGTTCAGCTATAGCTCCCATATATATCTTTCATCCGATTTGATCTTTAAGTCCCTCACATTCCTACTATGCACTCCACAACCGTGATATTTGGCACCAGGTATTAGATGGAGCACAGAAATAGCTGTTTTAAATTTTATCGAAATCGGTTCAGATTTGGATATAGCTCCCATATATATCTTCATCCGATTTCGGGTTAATTGTGCACCAAATGGCCGATATAAGTCCAAATGGACTGAATTTTAGTACATCGGACCAAATTCAGCCTAGAAGCAAGTATGTCAAATTTAGTGAAAATCGGTTCAGATATAGCAACCATATATATGTTTTATCCGATTTAGTGTTTTAGTCCCTTACATTCGTAATATTCACTCCACAAGAATGATATTTGGTACCAGGTATTAGATGGAGCACAGGAATAGCTGTTTTAAATTTTATCGAAATCGGATCAGATTTGGATATAGCTCCCATATATATCTTCATCCGATTTCGGGTGATTGACCACCAAATGGCCGTAATAGCATCAATTTTGGCAAATCCGACCGAAACCAGCTTAGAAGCAAGTACACCAATTTTAGTAAAAATCGGTTCAGATATAGCTATAGCTCCCATATATATCTTTCATCTCATAGAGCTCTGAAATGACCTGTATAAACCTTTTTACGAGAGCTCTACTAAATATGCATAGTGGTGTAGGGTATCATATAGTCGGCCCCGCCCGACTTTTGAGCTTTCATTACTGGTTATTATTTCTTTATTGCAGCGCCTTGTTTTTTGGTATTTTGCCTCTTCTGTGGCAATATGTCAATAATGACGTGTTGGCGTCGAATGCCGATCTTGTTGTTTTTTTATATTTTCTGTTTCATTTCTTTTGTGTGTTTTTCCCGAGACTTTTTTGCTATTGTTGTTGTAACTCTAAGTACCAACACATTATTGCATTATTACTGACGATTTAAAATGTTCCTAGTTGCCGTTCTGCTGCTACTGAATGGTTGTTGTGTTTATGCAAAATGAACCAATTTTCTCTTCATTGTGGCTGCCATCCATCGGCTGGGTAAAAAAATATATTGAATTGGGGTTTTGGCCTGTCCTCAACTTCCTGACTGGCTGACTCTCTAGAAGCTACAGTGCATAGGCCATGGAAAACGCCAATAACTGGCTGGTCGGCTGGCTGGCGGGCTGACTGCTTAGCCAGCCTAGCTTCTGACTCGATGTTCAATGGGGTGCTATGTTGTTGTCTTTTCTTTCTTGTGTTGGGGTGGAGTATCGGTGAGTATTAGCAATACTCTAAAAGTGGCCTGGTCTGGATTCATGGCCTGCATTGCATTTTTCACACTGGCCTTCTTTTCTATTCTCCATTCTCCTTCGTCTTCTTAATTGTTGAAAATGTATGATAATTTTCTAGCCATTGCAATGCTCTTTTTTTACAACTTTTTAATAGTCTTGAACTCCCTCCCAGCGCTGCTGCTGTGGTTACTTCGATTTTCTTAGTTGCATACTGTTCCAACTGATTCTGCATTGTTGCAAATTTTGCCTTCTTTGTTTTTTAATGGCGAGCATCAATAAAATAGTTTTTTTTTTTATTGATTGGGAATAAAATGTTGTGTGATGACGTCTTTTCTTTTTTTTGGTTGGCTATGGTAGCTTGCGTGTGGACCCAGCAGAAAGGGAGTCATGCAAACAGTATGAATGGGAAATATATCCGGTATTTTAATTGATGAGTTTTTTATTGGTTAATGGAAGGGATTCAGGGAAGGAATTTGAATGAAGAGATTTTGGAGGTTAATAATGAGAGAAAAATCTATTGATTTTCTAAATAGAATAACATAGGGGTTAAAGTCTAATGGGGAACATGGGACCCCTTTACTGACACAGCCAGAAACACATGTTGATAGAATTTTAAGAGGTCATATTTTGTCAACATTTTTATAGCCTACACCACACACTGTAGTTAGGGAAGGGACGGGAAGGAGGCAAGTTAGACCCATAATCTCTTAATGATCTGCATAATCTCTTCTGATCCGATTTATGCATGTCCGCCCGTCCGTCTGTCCATGCATTTTTGTAACCAAGGTACAGGTCGTATTTATTCCCCGATCAAATTGAAATTTTGCACAAATAATTTTTTTGGCCCAAGGATGAACCCTATTGAAATTGGAGATAATCGGTCAAAATTTAGATATAGCTCCCATATATATCTTCGTCCGATTTACCGTTTATTGTGCACCAAACGTGTAATATTAGGCCAAATCGGATGAAATTTGGCACATGCAACCAAATTGAGCTTAGAAACAAGTGTTTCAAATTTGGTGGAAATCGGAACAGATATAACTATAGCTCCCATATATATTGTTCATCCGATTTGTTATTTTTGTCCTCGGCAGCCTTAATATGCACTCCGCAACAACGATATTCGGGGAAATATATCAAATGCAGCTCAGAAATACCTTGGCAAAATTTTATTGAGATCGGTTCAGATTTGGATATAGCTCCCATATATATCTTCGTCCGATTTACCGTTTATTGTTCACCAAACGTGTAATATTAGGCCAAATCGGATGAAATTTGGCGCATATAACCAAATTCGGGCAAATATTTCAAATACAGCTCAGAAATACTTTGGCAAAATTGAAATCGAAATCGGTTCAGATTTGGATATAGCTCCCATATATATCTTCGTCCGATTTGCCTTTTATTGTGCACCAAACATGTAATATTAGGCCGAATTGGATGAAATTCGGCACATATAACCAAATTGAGCCTAGAAACAAGTGTATCAAATTTGGTGGAAATCGGAACAGATATAACTATAGCTTCCATATATATTCTTCTTCCGATTTATTTTTTGTCCTCCGCAGCCGTAATATGAACTCCGTAACAACGATATTCGGGGAAATATATCAAATGCAGCTCAGAAATACCTTGGCAAAATTTTATTGAAATCGGTTCAGATTTGGATATAGCTCCCATATACAATCTTCATCCGATTTACCGTTTATTCTGCACAATATGTGTAATATTAGGTCAAATTGGATGAAATTTGGCACATATAACCAAATTGAGCCTAGTAACAAGTGTATCAAATTTGATGGAAATCGGGTCAGATATAGCTATAGCTCCCATATATATTCTTCATCCGATTTGTTGTTTTTGTCCTCTGCAGCCTTAATATGCACTCCGTAATGATAATATTCGGGGAAATATATCAAATACAGCTCAAAAATACCTCTGCCCAATTAGATCGAGTTCGGAGATGGACAATATCGGTCCACCCCACCACACAAAAGTTTGAAATATTGAAAGAAACATTTTTTCCCCAAAGACTTTGCTTCAACTTTGCGCATCGTAATATTTGATGGAATAGTCCGATTATCTTCAAATTTCACACATCCCAATATTTTTATTAACCCAAAGTCTGGTGTTAATATGGGATATAACTCGGTTCACTCCTTCTGGTACTTCCCTTACAAACCGTCAAAATTTTGAATTTTCATGAAGCTCATAAAACGCGAAATTAACATTCCGATTCCATTCAGACTTGTCACATCTCAATATTTCTATCATCGCTAGATCTGTTATAAAGATGGTAGATATCGGGCCATTGCTTCTGGTACCTCCCCCACAAAGGTTGAACGTTTCGAATAACCAAAACGATCATTAAATACGAAATTAGCATCCGATTCTCTTCATATTTCACACATCCTATTATTTCTACTAACACAATATCTGATGTGAAGATGGAATATATCGATCCAATTCATCTGGACTCCAAATCCAGGTTGTCCAGCTTTTGTTGGTTCTTAAAAAATACTCTTTACAAAAATATTTTTTTTTTTTTGGTCTGTTATTGCTTAAAACAAAATATACATTTTAGGATTGGAAAGGCTTGTTATTCCATTTGTATTTAATATTAACAATTTATCATAATTCTAATAAAAAAAAAAACAATAAATTTCATATACAGAATAATTGAAAACCATATTGTCTTTATTTCTTTACACCATCTTTGCTTCGCTCTTTCATTTCCAATAATTCCGCACTTACCTTTAATTTGTGTTTGCCAACTATCATTTCAAATCCTCCTCCGCCTTGTCCAATGACAGTATATTTCATAATGACAAAACAGCGGTTAAATATTGCTCAAGCACAGCCTGAGACAAAGTGGAGCCATTCTCAATGGCCAGGGCATAGGCGGTATCACCATTTTCGTTTGTTGCTGTCATATCAGGATCGCGCGACAATAACTCATTGCAGGTGTGAGGATGATTGCCTGCAGCGGCATACATTAGAGCGGTATTCCCCACAATGTCCATGTGTGAAGAGTCCGCTCCCTTGTCCAAAAGTAAACGGACAATTTCATGATGGCCTCCAGAGGCGGCCAGTATTAAGGGGGTAACCATTTCGGGGGCTTCTTCGTTAATATTGGCACCAGCCTCAATCAGGGATTGTACCGTTGCCAATTGGCCATAGTAACAAGCCTATAAAGTAGGGATGATATCAGTAATTTATGGGATATGAAAAACTCACTTCCCCAATTACTTACCCAATGTAATGGTGTAAATCCAAAATTATCTTTAAAGTCAATATTTACGGCTTTCTGTTGCAGAATTTGTTCATCGGTAACCTCACCCTGGCCGGCTCGTTCATGAAAGGATAGTTTTACTTCGACGGGACAGAATGTTGCCTCAGTGTTACCCCGTTGAAGATTGGTTAGGACAGTTGTCTGTGGGCGATATGGTAGAAATGCTGATTTATGTTTTCCCGTTGCCGACACAGAATGATCGTGTAGAAAGCTCGAAGAATGCAAGGAGTTTGGAGTAGACAGGGGTGTTGAGGTTGTAGTATTGGGTGAAGGAGTATCTGTTTGACGCTGTGACTCCTGGCTAGCTGGTGTGGATTGTGGCATTTTGACGGCTGAAATGATATGAAAAATAAACTTAAAGGAATAATAGCTCTAATAATCCTGATTTTTAAAGATTATTCTTAACAAGTGCCAATAATTAAGGATTATTCAAGGAATAATTTTCAAAAACCTTACGTTCAAGACGATCTAACGACAATATATCGTTTGCTTACAAAGGGGACTTTGCTATTGACCAATTACAGACTAGTTCAAAGTCGACCTATATATCCCTAATTTTATCTCCCTCTTTCTTTTTATAACATTTTCCGTTTATTTTAATTTTTAAAGATTATCTTAGAGATTATTCTTATTAGGGATCAATAATTAAGGATTATTCAAGGAATATTTTTCAAATACCTTCCGTTCAAGACAATCTAACGACAATAAATGACTGGTTTTTTACAAAGAGTTCTTTGCCATTGGCCAACTACAGACTAGTTCAAAGTCGACCTACAAACCCCTAATTTTCTTTCTCCCACCTTTCACAGTGACAATTCCATCACCGTTGATGACATTTCTAGAAAACATAGAGGAAAAAATACAATACACGTGAAAACAAATTAAATTTTCCCAGGAAATTTGAAAACACCAGTAAATGTGGCAACATATTTTCAATGTACTTTGAAATTTCACCTCGAATATGGTGAAATTGACCTATATAAACATATTGCCTAAAGAAGAAGAAAAATAACAGCTGTGTACACCGGCAAATTGAAATTGCGCACATTGGATCGTTGCTTTTGTATGGATGGATGAATAGTGGAGAGACACACTTGCTGCATACATCTCCCCCCAAGGGTCAAACTTTTTTTAAGGACATGTGCCCCCCAATTCCGCTTTAATTAGCTAATATCCACAAAGCAAGCATAACAAACCTTACGTATAAATAAAATGCCAAAATGGTTTCCCCTGCGCTTTTCCATATCACGACTACATTCCTATTGCGTTTTTGCCCACTGCGCTGCTATTTGTCCATTGACTTTGTGTTGTTGTTGTTTGGTAAGATTCTTTTACTACGCCTTTTTTACGTTTCTTGCTCTGGTGTGTATGGATATGTGTGTGCGTGTGCATGAATGTATGCCTGTGTGTAAACAAGAAATGTGTTTGGGGCGGCGTTGGAATTTTTCCTCTGTCATAAACCACATTCCACAACAAGTCTTCGGAGTTTCTTCGATTTCCCATTTTCTTTTTGACAATTCCATGACTTACCTTTTGTTGCTCACCACAAATACTCTTTATTTATTTTAACGGCAAGAAAAATCGAGATAATTTACAACTTAAAATCCAACATTTATTTCTAAACTCTCTTATGTTTTTGGCACACACGCTCACTTTGCAACATTTGCAGCGTTGTGTTTTTTGGGTCGAAAATATTTGGCGTTTACATTTTTCCCCAATGTTAGCAGACAGTCTCCAATGGGAATGTTAACATTCAAGTGTCTGTTGTTTACATTCCATTTTAACGTGTTTGGGGGGAAATAACGCTTTAAATTCGAATTATTGTTGGAGCAATTGCCATAAAAGTTGTCAAGTTAATCTTTTGAGGTAAGAAAAAATATACACATATGTTGTATTTCTCAGTTCCAGAACCGAAAATAATGTAAATTTCTTGCAATGGCATTTGGAGTCGATCCAATCTCTCTGTCTGGCTAATACATCGTAATATTATTGTCGAACTTAAATCGAATTCGGAGATGGGCAATATCGGTCCGCTCCTTCGGATACCTCCCACACAAAATGTCAAAATAATTTATTGCGCAGAAAGAGAAAGGATCATCCGAGTTGGCTCCAACTTTGCGAATCCTAATATTTACGTCAGTGCTACGTCAGGTGCGAAAATGGACAATATCGGTCCACTCCATCAGGTAGCTTTCCACAAAATTATAAAATTTTAAAAAAATAATAACTATTTTTATTAAGCCAAGGTTTGCTGTGAAAATGGAATATATTGGTGCACTTCTTCTGGTACCTCCCCCACAAAGGGTCAATATTTTGAATATCCTTGAAGCTCATAAACCACGAAATTAACATCCGATTCCATTCAGACTTGGCAAATCTCAACATTTTCATCAATACAAGATTTGATATAAAGATGGTAGAGATCGGACCATTCCTTCTGGCACCTCCGCCACAAAGAGTCAAAGTTTTGAATAACTAAAACGATTATAAATAATATATATCGGCCCACTCCTTCTGGTACCTCCCTCACAAAGGGTCAATATTTTGAGAATGCATGAAGCTCATAAAATTTGAAATTAACATCCGATTCCATTCAGATTTGGCACAGGTCAATATTTTCATCGACACAAGATTTGTTATAAAGATGGTAGAGATCGGAATAACAAAAACGATTATAAAATCCGAAATTAGCATCCGGTTCCCTTGGGAACATTGATATGTCAAAATTTTTAAAATGTTTTGATAAAAATAATTAGACACGACACAAATTTGGGGTTTGTTATGGTATGCACTTTCAACAAATTTTACAAATTTCAATAATTTTTCATTCAATATTTTCAATTTCAAAATTGGTTTGATAGTTCATTGTCCCAGCAGCTGTGTTTTCTACAACGCAATCGAATATGAATAGTCGACTACTCGGTTTTCACCCAAGTCCATAGTCGATTTAAGAACTTTGATTACAAAAAGTCGATTATTCGATTAATCGCAAGTCGACTTATATATCCCTAGATTAGAGTAAATTTTCAGGCAAAACATTTCCAATTTTCGCTGCTCGATAGGATTCCATAGAAAATCCTCACACGATGAATAATATACCAAATGGTATTATTTCACACACACGCCGTGTCCAAAGCCTGTACAAGAGGGCTTTGCGTAACTGCGAAGCTTGGTATGATCGCAGGTAAGGATATTCGAAATTGTTAAAAAAATTGCCGAAAAGGTTATGTAATTTGGAGTGCCTAATTTCTTCATCTTCAGAGAAATCTACCGTTACCGGGCTGTTCAATTGCGTGCCCGTTTTGAGGAAAATCGCAATGTAACCGATATGGCCAAGGCTGTGAAATTGTTGGCTTCCGGTGAACAGGAATTGTTCAATACCCAACATTACCAACCCATCAAGTGTAAGTTGTTGTTGCTGCGGTGATGATTGTTGTTGTCTTTAATGGTGTTTTTGTTTTGAATTATTTCAGTGGCCAACAGTCCCGGTGGCTGTGCCTACGAACGTGAAGTTGAAGCCCCTGACTGGGTCTTGGATTACTGGCATCCCTTGGAAAAGGCTCAATACCCCGAATATTTTGCCCAACGTGAACAGCGCAAGAAAGAATTTGTTGCCTGGTGGGAACAGCAGTATGGCAAACCAGATCCCAAGGATCTACATCATTAGAGCATTGCCGGAAATGATGTGTGTTGTGTTGGAAATGTGCAGTGGTGAATTTTATTCATCGCCGAGCAACATTGTTGTAAAGAAAAACTAGAAAATTAAAAATAAGGAAATTAAAAACAAAAAACAACAACAATAATGAATTGTGTTCAAAATATTACGAAAAGTTGAATGAAATATTTTGCCGGCCGAGACCAGAGTATTTGTTTAAATCAAGATTGCGGAGCAAGTTTAGTTAATGGACTTTTTCCGGATTTACCTGAAATTTTCATCACATGTTGATATTTTTAGCCAGATTACGGCATCGTAATTTTTTGGTGGGGGGAAATACCCGGTCATTTTAACCGAAAGTTCGGGTACAAAATCTCGGTTTTATCCAGTTCTACAAAACGGAAATTTACAAAATGTATAATTTGAAAGATTAACGAAATACCAATAATTTGTCATATGATGGTGATTGTTGGAACCGATTCCGGAGTAATACAAGAAAAGCTATTCGAAACTTTTTGAAAAATCTTAAAAAGTCGAAAATGAACCCATTATGGGTTATTAAGTACTACATACAACATTCTTGCTTTCCCAAAATTATGCCAAAGATGCTGATAAATTTTGTAGTTCCGAAGATATCAGTGAAAAAATCATTTAATTGAGACTTTGGATTTGAATCCGAACTTTGGTTCGAAAAATCGTGTATTTCCCCCACGAAAAAATTACTTTCCTGTCATCAGGTTAAAAATAGCTACATATGATACACATTTTAGGTTAATCCAACCATAGCCCCTAAACTCAACCTAACCCTATTTATCTCCCAACATGAAAGCAAATTTGCACAGTTCCAGAAACGCAAAATTTTTTTATGACATCAAAAAAAAATTGGAAGATGCTTGCAGATTGGAGAACAGAACAACTATAAAATATATAATTTGTCAGAAGTTGTCTATTACAAAATATGATAATGGGAATCGTCAATATCTTCTAATTTTCATTAATCGGAGGGGAATTACTTTGTTCCAGAACCTGCGAGAACCCAATTTTTTGCATTTTTCTTCGTTTTTAGATTCGTAGTAAAAAATGTTTCCATTCTTACAGTTCTGGAACAGACAAAATATTAGTTGGCATTTTTTCCTAAAAATTTATTTACTGATATATTTTCCTGGAGCAAATTTTTTCACAAATTCAAATGCCTAAAACCTGGCTTTATTTCTGTATAGAGATCCAGAACAAAGAGCACATAGCAGTGAAAGACACAAATGCCACTTTACATAGACGTAGTTAAAAAATGTCCCTCGGAACCATTTCTGGACGTGCCGACAAAAAATTTGATTTTTAAGGAAGATTTCCAAAAAAATATCTAAAATTTTACAATTTTGGAGAAGTCCTCCACTCTGGTTAATTTGGTTCCCATTATAGCCCAATCCACGTAATTAGTGGGTGTTGTTTGGGACTTTTCCGTGAACTACGACCAAAATTTCCATTTTATCCTATATTTAGGGTGAACCCCAAATTTGTTCCCTTTAAAGAGGAAATTTTCCACTAGCCAAATCAACATAAATCCCCAATTACAGCCAATAGGGTCTGAAAAATACTCCTGCAGAATAAATCTTCATCAAAACACGGGCGTAACCCAGCAGGGTGTTTTCTATCCTTGAAAAAATTCTCAAAAATCGTCTTTTGGTCCTTGGGGAAAAAATCCCAAAGGTCCTTGAGATAAAAAATTAAAAAATGATTGTCTTTTGGTCGTTAAGAAAAAATCTTCAAAAATATTAGTCCTTTGGTCTTTGAGAAAACAATTCTTAAAAAATTTTGTCTTTTGTTCCTTGAGAAAAAATCTCATGAATCATTGTCTTCTGTTCCTAAAATCAAAATTAAAAAATGTTTGTCTTTGGTCCTTGAGAAAAAAATTCCCAAAAATTATTGTCTTCTCTTCTTAAAAAAGAATAATTTAAAAATTTTTGGTCTTCAAGAAAAAAAGTGTCAAAAATCATTGTCTTTTGGTCCTTGAAAAAAAAATCCTCAAAAATGTTGTCTTTTGGTCCTTGAGGAAAATATTCCCAAATTTGGTTCTAAAAAAATTTCAAAAATCTTTGGTCTTCGAGAAAAAAAATTCTCAAAAATCTTTGTTTTTGGTCCTTGAGGAAAACATTCTCAAATATCTGTATTTTATTCCTTGAGAAAAAAATTCCCAAAATCATTTTTTTCTGTTCCTTAAAAAAATTCAAAAAACTTTGTTTTTTGGTCTTCGAGACAAAAAATTCCAAAAATCTTTGTTTTTTGGTCTTTGAGGAAAAAATTCCCAAAAATCTTTGACATTTGATCCTTTATAAAATATTCTTTAAAAAACAATTGTTTTTTGGTCCTTTAGGACATTTTATTTAAAGATCCGCGTTGGTTTTGGCATAGGTCTTTGAGAGATATTTTTTAAAAATTCAAATTGGTCCACTGATCTTTGAGAGATATTCAATAAAAATCCACGTTTTTTGGTCCTTGAAATACATATTTCTAAATCTTTAAATCTGTCCTTCGGAACATATTCTTTAAAAATTTAGAAAATATTTTTTAAAAAAATCCCCTTTTGTGCTCTTTGGCTTAGATCTTTGAGAAAATATTTCTTCATAATTCAAGTTTATTGATCCTTGACAAGATCCTTTAAAATCCACTTTTTTGTCCTTGAGAAAATATTCTCAAAAATTGAATTTTTGGTTTTCGAGAAAATATTCTTCAAAAATCCACTTTTTTGGTCGTTGAACATTTTTTTCAAAATTCCTTGTCATTTCGTCCTTGAGAAAATATTCTTCAAAAATAAACATTTTTCGCCCTTGAAAAAATATTCCTTAGAAATCCATATCTTGATCTTTGAGAACATATTCTTAAAAAAATCACGTTTTTTGGTCCTTGAGAAAATATTCTTCAAAAATCCACATTTTTGGTCCATGAGAAAAAATTTTCAAAATTGTTTGTCTTTTGGTTCTTGAGAAAATATTCATAAAAAATTGACTTTCTTTGGCTCTTGAAAAAATATTCTTCAAAAATTTACGTTTTCGTCCTTGAGAAAAAAGTTTCAAAATTGTTTGACTTTTGGTTCTTGAGAAAATATTCATAAAAAATTGACTTTTTTCGGACCTTGAAAAAATATTCTTCAGAAATCCAGTGTTTTCGTCCTAGAGAAAAAAATTCTCAAAATTCTTTCTTTCAGTCCTTGAGAAAATATTTTTTTAAAAAAATCCACGCTTTTTGGTCCTTGACAAGATTTCTAAAAAATCCACGTTTTTCTGTTCCTGAGAAAAAAATTAATTAAAAATCCACGTTTATTGGTCCTTGAGAAAAACATTTTCAAGATTCTCTGTCTTTTGGTCCTTGACAACATTTTCTTCAAAAATACATTTTTCGTCCTTGACCAGATTCTTTATAAATCCAAGTTTTAATGTCCTTGACAAGATTCTTTATAAATCCAATTAATAACCTTGAGATATATTCTTTAAAAATATACGTATTTTGGTCCTGAGAAAATATTTTTTAAAATCCACTTTTTGATCCTTTAAAAATTCGCGTTTTTTTTTTTTTTTTGAGCTTTATTTATTCTTTAAAAATTCCACGTTTATTGGACCTTAAGAAAATGTCTAAAATTGACGTACTTATCCTCTTTAAAAATCGGCGTTGTTTTTGGCATAGGTCATTGAAAAATATTCTTTAAAATATAGGTGTTTTTTGGTCCTGAAAATCTTTACAAATCCCTGAACTATTTCACTTTGAAAATCAGCCTTGTTTTTGGTTAGTTTCATGAGAAAATATTCCTAGAAATCCAATTTTTTTGTGCTTGAGAGAATATTTTTAAAAACTCCCAAATGGCTTAGATGGCTTCTTAAGACTATTTTAGAAAAAATACGTTGCTTTGGCTCAGTTGGTTTGTATAAGACCTCTTTATAAAATTGAATTTTAAAATATCTAGATATTTTTCAAAAATACTTGTTTCCTGTTTTCTCACAAGTAAAGCCAAATCCCAGTTCAGAACCAAAACTTGCATAAAATCACGTACATACCGACGATGTATACCCTGTTCTCCCCTTAGCTGATCCAATGAGAAATTACAAAGAATTGCGAAATGATGATTTGACATGCATTGCATCAACGATGAAGTATTATTCCATAATACTTCCACATTCCATTGGGTCTACATTTAATCTTTTCAATTCCGTAACCCTTTATTTCGACCTTGCAACTCCATTTTCCACAGCACTCAAACATCGGTATCATTATTTTCGATTTGGATTTTTTTTATTATTATTTAAAAAAATTATAAATAGTTATAGATTTTATTAATTCGAAATCATTCAAATACTAGTTACTATTGTACGTTATTAAATTAGTTTTGTGTTTAATTCAGGCCAAAGAAAGGGGGGGAAGAAGTTCGATCAAAAAAAAAAATTGAAAAGAAGAAATTTAACAAAAACAAAATTAAGATGCGTTCTTTTTGTTCTCTATCAAAAAAAAAAAAAAAAAAAAAAACAACCAACAGAAACATACAAGAGAAACCCAAGGTTGGGGGAGGGGGGATAATTAAATAATTTAGTTCTTTATGTATGTATGTAACTATGTGTATTGAATTCTATTTTGTTTCATATGCGGGAGTGTATTTGTTGTTGTTGTATGTATGTTTATATGACTTCAAAACATATCTCTCAGTTTCATCACGACAGAAATCCAGCAGCCAGCAGCATTAATTCCTTCCGTTCATCAAACATAAATACAAATTAAGTCTTCATCACTCTTATTCAGCCTCCAGACGTGGACGCTTTTTACAATTGTTGCCAGGACCACCGCCACTGTTGTTCGTACTGCCATCATTAGCATGATCCCGCTTCTTGGGTAGGATTTTCTTGTCCCATTGTTGTGTTAAATAGCGCAGCAGCACCGAACGTTTGTCCAGCACTATATGTTGTTCCGAGGGATAGTCATCAGTGGGCAGATAGACCGATGGTCGTTTTTGTGAGGTACGCATAGCATGCTCCGTATTGAATTGGGAAAAATTCTCGGCATTGTGACAGGGCAGGCCCTTTATAAAGTCGGTCACTGACATTTTTGTCTTTAGTGGGGGTGTGTGTGTGTTTGTTTTTATGCTAAGGGATGTAAAGTTGTTTTCCTTCTCGTCGTCGATGTAGACAGCAGCTAGGCAGCTGAACCACTGTCCGTCGATCAAATGGAAAATTTCAAGAAAACTCAATTTCGAAACAGGGCACACCACCAAACAAGAAGAGGGCGTTCAATTTGATGTCTTGTCTTCTATTTATTATTGCTTAGCTCACTGCTATCACTAGTTGTATTTGTTGTTATTGTTCTTCTTCTTTAGCTGGAATAGAGTGGAAGAGACCACGCTATTATTTTTGGCCACTGTGATTCACTCCTTGTATTGGTACTATGTAGAGCCTTGACTCTGGTTAATTCGTTTTCCAAAATATTGTTATAAATCTGAGAATTTTGTTAAATACTCTTGCGAATAGTTTGGTAAGTCTGCTTTGTCTTTAGTTTTTCTTTTTTGTGTTGCTTGCTAGAGCTGACAAACAATGAATGACACTATCGATAGTTGGGTACTTTGCATTGAAATCGCCACTTTGTTATTGCTATCGATAGTTCTCTTGTTATTTGACATTTGTATTGTAGCAAGGTGTTCCAATGCATGCAAGATTTTGCATGTACTTTTGGTGTAGGAACCGTTATCTCTCTAGAGTTTATTTTTGAATTTAGAGCACGGAAACTACTTTTTCTGTCATATTTCTTCCTTCGCCTTTGACACTTTATTAATTGTTGGGTTCTGTAGATCGATTTACTTCAACGCCGTTAATTTCATTGTGAATGGCAATCAAATTTCTCCATTGGAAATAAAAACTAATAAAACTAAAAAAAGTATCAGATTTTATTGTATATTAGTATATATCAGGATATATTGTTTGTATGGTGCCACGCTTTGGTAAAGCCCCCATATAATGTTACCTTCCAATTTTTGGTATTTTCATGATTTTTGCCACATTTTTCACGGATTTATCTAAAAATTTGTATTTATTAGTCATAACGGGTTCTAGCTGCGGTGGCTAAACATTGCATATATAGGTCCACGGTTTGGTATAGCCCCCATTTAACGGTACCTCCCGATATTCGTTATTTTGTAGGTTTTGTCACAATTTTTCACGGATTTGTCTAAACATTGGTTTTTGTCATAATAGGTTCTGGCTGTTGTGGCGAAACATTGTATGTATAGGTTTACGTTTTGGTATAGCTCCCATATAACGGTAACTCCAAATATTCGGTATTTTGATTATTTTTGCCACATTTTTTCGCGGATTTGTCTGAAAATTGGTTTTTGTAGGTCATGATGGGTCCTAGTTCCTGTGGTGAAATATTGCATGTATGGGTCCACGCTTTGGTATAGCCCCCATATAACGCTACCTCCCAATTTTTGGTATTTTGATGATTTTTGCCACATTTTCGCCACGAAAATTGGCTTTCTTTTTTCCTTCCTAAATGACATTCTTTTTTTTAATGTCTGACAACTTCCATGGCAGAAGAATACAGGTAGATGCATCAACGCTTGGGAGCATTGATATGTCAAAAAATGTTCAATGTTTTTTCAAATAAACGCAGATTTTTATATGTTTTCTAATACGAGGTGATTTGGAGGTTATTATAATTAGTGTTTATCAACAATTTTTATTAATTTAAGTAATTTCTCATTCAACATTTTAAATTCCAAAATTGGTTTGACAGTTCATTGTCCCAGCAGCTGTGTCGATGCTTCTACCTATATTCTTATACCATGACAACTTCTTTAAATATGACTTTTGACACACATTTGATAGAATTCTCAATGTAAACAACGTATTTTATTTAAACACGTGCAATATAAACATAGCTTTACTTTGCCTTTCGCAACATTTTCAAATTTAACGGTCCTTCTCCAACTGATTGCAATATCGATAACCAGGCCTAATATGTAATCGATAGTCAAAGGCGCAATGTTAACGTCAACACCAATGATGACAAGAGCAACACAGGGTTGCATTAAAGGGTATTCCTCCCAACATTTGTACAATTTCGGTACATTTTCATCACCGAAAAACAATCAAATATTTTCTGTTTGACATCACTGACATTCGAGATTTTGTTAATTATCAACTTTGGGTTGGAATTAAAAACACATCCAGGCAACGACGACAAATATCAACAAATTAGTGATTCATACGCCCCGAAAATAACGGCAGAAAGCAGTGAAATTTCCGATTAGAACAACGATTAAACGAAAAAAGAACAAATATGGCAGCGGAAATTAAGCCATCACCCAAGCGCAATGAACGTTTTAGCACGAAAAAACCTGAACTGTTGAGCAAATTGGAGGGCAGTGCCGATGACATTAATGCAGCTATACTAATACCGGGTGAAAATGGTGTTATTAGCGTTTCGGATGACAAGACCATACGTGTGTGGCTGAAACGAGACTCGGGCCAATATTGGCCCAGTATTTGTCAGTTTATGCCCAGTGGCTGCACTTGCCTGTACTATTTGCAGGAAACGCGTCAACTGTTTGTGGGCCAAGAGAATGGCACCGTGACAGAGAACACGTTATCGGAGGATTGTAATCGTCTGACATTTTGCCGGGATCATTTGGCTCATCAGGCCCGCGTCATGGCAGTGGTCTTTTCGAAAGCCCACAACTGGGTTTTGTCTTGCAGTAAGGACAAAACATTTGCATATCACTGCTCCGAGACCGGCAAGAAGATTGGACAGTACAATTTTGAGACACCCTGTACGGCTTTGCAGTTCGATGCCTTGGCCAAATATGCATTTATTGGTGATCATGCTGGCCAGATAACCATGTTGCGTTGTGACGCCCAGGGAGGGGTGCAGCTGATAACCACCTTCAAGGGCCACACAGCAGCCATACGCTGCCTGAAATGGGTTGAGGGGCCGCAGCTGTTGTTCAGCGGTGCCTGTGACCAGTCGGTGATTGTGTGGGATGTGGGCGGTAAACGTGGCACAACCTACGAACTGCAAGGCCACAAAAACAAGGTCACCTCCCTGGCCTATGCCAATCACACACAACAATTGATAAGCTGTGGCGAGGATAATGTCGTTGTATTCTGGGAAATGAATGCCATGCGCAAAGAAGTTCCTAATTGGGTTGAATCCAACAGTTGTCAGATCTGTAGCCGTCCATTTTTCTGGAATTTCCGTTCGATGATGGATCAAAAACAAATCGGTTTGCGTCAACACCACTGCCGCAACTGTGGCCGGGCCATATGCGATAATTGCTCGCAGAATCGCATCAACATACCCATAATGGGTTTTGAGTTTGATGTGCGTGTCTGCAATGCCTGTTACAACGAACTGCAAACGGTGGAGCGACCATCATTGGCCTCCTTCCACGATGCCAAACACTCAATTGTCTACATGGACTTGGAGGAGGAGCGAAAACGTTTGCTGACCGTTGGTCAGGATCGTGTTATTAAGATTTGGGATCTAAATACAATTTGGGATTAAAACATTTTTTCATGACACACCACGACATGGTAGTTCTATAATTCGAAATTATGGATGCGATACGAAAAGAAGGACGATTTATATCCCTATTATATATTTACAAAACAAAAAAAATAAGAAAAATTATAAACGTGTGTAGAAAACGAAAGAAATCTTTATAAACTATTATTAAATAATGTAAATAAAGTATTAATATTTAAGGACTGAAAAATCAACAAAATCAAATGTTCTATATATAAATGATATATATATAAAGAAATTGGTGTTTCTTTTTCTAATAAAAATTAAAAGAAAAATGAATTTGAAAATTTTTTTACTAGAGGGTGTGTGGAGGTGGGTTTGAAATATATATGGTATTGAAAGATTTCAAAACTAAATGGTTACTCCATTAGGAACTATGGACTATTTCACTATTTCAGAAATAATGGATCTGAAGGCCTTAAAACTTAAAGTTTAAAGGTCTGACTGACCCTTATATCAGAAGCTGAGGCTACTCAGAGAGAGATAATGGATCTGAGTGACCATTATCTCAATGATAATGGACCTGACTGACCATTATCTCCGAGATAATGGACCTGACTGACCATTATCTCCGAGATAATGGACCTGACTGACCATTATCTCCGAGATAATGGACCTGACTGACCATTATCTCCGAGATAATGGACCAGACTGACCATTATCTCCGAGATAATGGACCTGACTGACCATTGTCTCCGAGATAATGGACCTGACTGACCATTATCTCAGAGATAATGGACCTGACTGACCATTATCTCCGAGATGATGGAACTGACTGACCATTATCTCCGAGATAATGGACCTGACTGACCATTATCTCCGAGATAATGGACCTGACTGACCATTATCTCTGAGATAATGGACCTGGCTGACCATTATCTCTGAGATAATGGACCTGACTGACCATTATCCCTGAGACAATAGACCTAACTGACCATAATGAACCTGACTGATCATTACCTCAGATATAATGGACCTGACTGACCATTATCTCAGAGGTAATGGACCTGACTGACCATTATCTCCGTGTTAATGGACCTGACTGACCATTACCTCCGAGATAATGGACCTGACTGACCATTATCTTAGAGATTATGGACCTGACTGACCATTATCTCCGAGATAATGGACCTGACTGACCATTATCTCCGAGATAATCGACCTGACTGACCATTATTTCCGAGATAATGGACCTGACTGACCATTATATCCGAGATAATTGACCTGACTGACCATTATCTCCGAGATAATAGACCTGACTGACCATTATCTCAGAGATAATGGACCTGGCCGACCATTATCTCAGAGATAATGGAACAGGTTGATCAATATCGCAAAGATAATGTATCTGACTGATCATTATCTCAGAGCTAATTGATCTGACTGAGTATTATCTCCGAGATAATGGACCTAACTGACCATTATCTCCGAGATAATGTACCTGGCTGACCATTATCTCCGAGAAAATGGACGTGACTGACCATTATCTCCGAGATAAAGGACCTGACTGACCATTATCTCCGAGATAAAGGACCTGACTGACCATTATCTCCGAGATAATGGAACTGACTGACCATTATCTCCGAGGTAATGGACCTGACAGACCATAATCTCCGAGATAATGGACCTGACTGACCAAAATCTCCGAGATAATGGACCTGACTGACCATTATCTTAGTGATAATGGACCTGACTGACCATTATCTCCGAGATAATGGACCTGACTGCCCATTATCTTAGAAATAATGGACCTGACGTAACATTATCACAGAGAAAATGGACCTGACTGAACATTATCTCAAAGATAATGGACGTAACTGACCATTATCTTCATTAAAGCAGACCTAAATAGCCTTAAGATAATGGACTTATCGTAAATTGACAATTTTAATCACTCCTGGGCCTCCTCCTGTATTCCAATTAAATGAACCTGTTAGTTCTGTATTGCTTTGTCATCCATAAACACATTTCTTCGTTGCTTCTTAAAATTTACCATGGAAAGTACCATTATTTATTTAGCTATGGCGTTAAAAACCGATCAAAACAAAACATAAAAGGAATTACTTCTTGGGTCACATCGTTTCTCCACTTGCTCTCCTCTTTCCCTCTTCGTCGGCGATTATGTTGTTGCAAACAAATACAACAAATTCTTGGCAAATTGTATGATTTCAGTACCGCCCAGTTTCGATTCGCCATAGACACGATCCACAAACGTAATCGGCACTTCACCAATCGAATACTCAAATTGACGGGCTCTCACCAACATTTCCATCTGGAAGACATATCCCTTGGACACACAACTGGCAATGCACATTTCCAGCGCACGTTTCTTATACAAACGGAATGATCCAGTCAAGTCGGAGGCTCTGGGTCTGAGCAGTAGCTGCGACAGGAAGTTGGCTCCACGCGAGATTAGCTTACGTTTGAAATCCCAACCGAAGACACCGCCATCACCGAGATAACGTGTACCCGACACGATGTCGTAGTCATGTTTCTTTTGCAATTCAATGAATTGTGGAATGAATTTCGGCTGTAAGAATAAACACGATAATTATTATGGATATATAAAAAATATGCAAACGAGCTCAACTCACATGATGACTTAGATCGGCATCCATGATAATAATGAAATCGCCCGTGGCATGTTCTATGCCATGAATATAGGCCGTACCCAGGCCCAATTTACCTTTACGTGGTCTTAGCAGAATTTTCTCTTCACCGTAGATCTTTTGCAAATCCTTGGCCACCTCCAAAGTGCCATCGGGACTATTATCATCAATTATGATTACCTCAAAGTGATAGCCTCTGGAATATGGAAATTTTTGTGTGCATATGATTAGTGTGTATATCAGAGAAGCGCAACAGTCACCGGCTTTTTCGGATTCGAGTTGCTTGTAATTTGACCACCACACTTACCCAGCTGTCATGTATTTCATGATCAACCATATAATGATGGGTAAATTATCCTTTTCATTGTAAGTTGGCAGCAGTATGCTGTATTTGGACTCCACCACTTTTGGCATATTGTTTCTTTTTCCCCAAATTTTAATCCAATTAAGAGTAAAATAGAAGGCTCCCGGTCTTATCAGAGCAGTGTCGTGTCGTTGCTGAACGAAAGGGGTTTATTAAAGCAAATTCACAAGAATGAACTATGCGAACTAGTTCCTTTTTATATGATCTATAAGTTGACTGGCTCATTTAAGCAGGCGGTTCATTTTTTCAGTTTATTTATTATACTCCTTGTAATGCTTTTTGAAAATAATGGAGAGAATAACAGAAAATGAAAATAACTTTCTTTAATTGACAGAGCAAACAAAATATTACTGTTTTCTAATAGCAGACATTAAAGTAGGGTTCCCACAACCGGAAAAAATCATATTAACAATAGTGATGAAGCATAGATAAGCCTTAAAATTACGATTACGATGTCAAAGTTTTTACTGCAATAACCGATTTTCCCTTTATGCTATCGAAAATATTGCAAAGCCTGTAGGATCTTGCAGGTACAAGGTAAAGATCGTATTTATTGCACGATCGAGATAAAAATTTCTACAAATCATTTCATAGCCCTAAAGACGAACCCTACCGAAATTGGAGATATAGGGGCCAAAACAAAGATAATACTCCCATATATATCTTCGTCCGATTTGCCTTTTATTGTGAACCAAATGTGTAACATTAGTCCCAATTGTCGGAATTTGGAATATATGACCAAATTGGTTCTAGAAAAAAATCAGTTCATATCCATGGTACAAAGAAGAGAAGGTAGGTCAACTTTGAAAAAATTGCAAGTATAGAGGTCTACCTGCTTGGCTTGTAATGTCAGAATTAGTATCAAAACAATAACAAAATCAAACAACTTGTTGCATTTATTTTGAATAAATAATTGAAAACCGCGATAATTGAATGAAAGGTCAACACTTCTTTTCAAAATCATGTACTATATATCTCTAAAAGATTATTTCGCTACAAAAACTCTAGATTTTGTCGATACATACGTTGAAATAAACATTTTGAAAACACCCGAATTTGAATGTTTTCTGAACAATTTTTTTGTTATTGAAAAGAAAACACATACATAAACAAATAAAGATGACATATTAAGCCAAGAAAATAAAAAAAATTAAAATCATATGGTAGTTCTGCCCTACCTTGATATCATTGTACCATGTTCATATCATGGTACAATGAATTCCAATATATTAGTTCCTTGTGACTATAAATTATAACTAATTATTATAATAATAATTATTATTATTGCTATTATTATTATTATGTTAACAATAATAAACAATAATTATAATAATATATTATAATAAGAGAATTTATTATTAGTTCCTTGTGACTATAAATTATAACTAATTATTATTATTATTATTATTATTGCTATTATTATTATTATTATTATTATTATTATTATTATTATTATTATTATTGCTATTATTATTATTATTATTATTATTATTATTATTATTATTATTATTATTATTATTATTATTATTATTATTATTATTATTATTATTATTATTATTATTATTATTATTATTATTATTATTATTATTATTATTATTATTACTATTATTATTATTAGTATTGCTATTATTATTATGCTGTTTTGTGTTTGTCAAAAAATCAAAACAATAATTATAACTATAATAAGATAATTCAGAAATATGTTTTTTTTTGAATATTTGAAATATATTACAATAGCTCTACAATCGTTTTTTATATTTAGGTTACACTAGGCCGACAATGCCTTATAACTTAGGTTACCTTAGTTCGAAAAATAAACCACAAGAAGACAGGGTGCATTGTAATTCTTAACTTTATTATTTATATAAATCTCTGCATACTTTTAGGAATACTTGAGCAATTTTTAACGTAATTAGAAATTAATAAAATATTTAAAGGATATTTCTTCAACGTCATGTAACTGTGTGTGTCTTGTGGCATTTGGCGCCTTTTCTGCGCATGCCTGCTACAACCCTTATTGTCGTTTCAAGAAAATGTCAAAATTATTGTTGTTGTTTTGTGTTTGTCAAAATGTTTTTTTGGCTGAGCAAACAAAGAGGGAGAGAGAAAAACTTGTTCCAATCAGAAAAACGACGAAGAAAACCAGTCAACAACGGGGGTTGACGACTTAAATGCTTGTTAGCCTGCCCTTTTCGGTCGTTGGAAAATTGTGAAAAAAAATGAAATAATTAAGAAAATATTTAAAAGAAAGCTATTGTGTTGTGTGTTGATAAAAGAAATATATATTAAGAAAATCAAAGAGAAATAAGTGCAAAATAAGAGAGAAAAAAGTTGTGAAGCAAAAATAAGGCTTGCCAAGAAAAAAATAAGAAAATTTGCGTGTGAATGAAAATTAAATTGTGAAAGAAAGTGTGAGTGAATGATTAAGTGGCTATTCCCCAGCCTTTGCTGAAAATTCAATCAAGGGAATTCCAATTTTTGTCTAGCCCATCAGCCGTAATTGCCATCAACACCACCTGCCATCCTTGGCAGTAGGAGCCACCGTCTTTAGAAACGTCCATGCAAAGCAGCAGCAGCAGCAGCAGCTATGTCTAAGAAGATTCCTTTCAATGTGGTATTTGCCTCCGGTAAGTCATTCATTTGCTGGCCAAATTGTTTCTCATGTTTTCTTTTTTTTGATAGCCATATATCTTGTTGGGTCAGCGAGCCTGGGAGGGTGGGGTGAGGGTGTTAGTGGCTGTGTGTCGATGTTGAGTTTAGCCTTATGTAAACCGATGCCCAAAATGATAAATCCGACACAAAAAAACTAAAACAAGCCACTAAACAAACAAATTGTAATAAATATTAAATTAACTTGTACTTAGTATGGCTGTGATTGGATGCGTGTCTGTGTGTGTGCCATTGGGTGTGCTAGCGATTTTATAAGGTCACCAAAGAAATGATAGAACTTCAGGACCATATGACTCGTTTCACAAACCCACTCGCACACACACACACCCATTCTTTGGCACATCCTTTTACCTTGTGTGACACAATTCCGTTGCAGGATTTTAAAACAACAGCCTTAATGGCAGAGTGTGTGTGTGTTTGTGTAAGGGGAGGTAAATCAATAGAGATGTATCCTTTTTGGCAGCATATTTCAACGCTCTTTTTATTTGTAGGCATTTTGTTTCATTTTCGAACAATTCCAAATGACTTGTCAATGATCCTTTTGGGGATGAGAATATGGGAATTCCCCCCATTCCTCATTTATTGCCACAAATTATCACCTCTGGCAGAACGTGTGCCACAAGAGAAGAAAGCTGCACACGTGTGTGCGTGTGTGATTTATGGTCCAAATTGCTTGGATGGAGTCCTAATTGGATGCTGAAATATTCAGCATCATTTTCGACATCAATCGATGACATTTAAATCCCTTGATGAGGGAGTTGGTGGTAGATATTTTTAAGAATTCATGGTCCTTCTGGAGGTCTTTGGAATATAATTTTAAAAAAATCCAAATTTAGTTTCAAAATTCTTTCTTTATTTCAAAAAAATTGCAAAATTATTGAAAATTCTAATGTGTATTAGGATTTGCGGACACTCTGAAGGTTTGATATTTCCTCAACCTATCATATTTCACATACTAAAATAAGAATTAAAATAAGTGAGATATAAGTCTTCCAAAAACGTCTTCATTCTTACCTTGGCCTCATCACTGATCGGTTTGATAACTCCCATGCTATTATGGAACATGGCCATAAGGAGGGTGACACCAAAGAAAATTGTAAACAATTTCATTTTCCCTTGACACTCTCCGACTTTTTTTCTTCAGTAAATTATTGCTGCCCCTGCAGCTGCTTTTATAAAGCAGCAAGTCAAATCGCGTTTCTTCGATTTGAACACGATGTGAAAATAAAAATAAAATTATTGGAAAATTTGTGGTTAGATATGAAGGTAATCTAGATATAGATGGGCTTTAAGAGACCTCAGAGGATCATCATCAGTCTAACAAACTGGAATTTTTTATGATTTATTTTCAAAATCTTTAAAAATCATTTTTCTCAAGGTCCACCTGATCCAAAAACGTGATTTTTTTAAGATTTTTTCCAAGGACCATCTGATCCATAAACGTGGATTTTTTAAAGAATTTTTTCCAAGGACCATCCCAACAATAAACGTGGATTTTTTAAAGAATTTTTTCCAAGGACCATCCCAACAATAAACGTGGATTTTTTAAAGAATTTTTTCCAAGGACCATTGGTCTAATAAACGTGGATTTTTTAAAGAATTTTTTCCAAGGACCAACCGTTCTATAAACGTGGATTTTTTAAAGAATTTTTTCCAAGGACCTTCTGACCCATAAACGTGGATTTTTTAAAGAATTTTTTCCAAGGACCATTGGTCTAATAAACGTGGATTTTTTAAAGAATTTTTTCCAAGGACTATCTGATCCATAAATGTGGATTTTTTAAAGAATTTTTTCCAAGGACCATCTGATCCGTAAACGTGGATTTTTTAAAGAATTTTTTCCAAGGACCATCTGATCCGTAAACGTGGATTTTTTAAAGAATTTTTTCCAAGGACCATCTGATCCATTAACGTGGATTTTTTAAAGAATTTTTTCCAAGGACCATCTGATCCATAAACGTGGATTTTTTAAAGAATTTTTTCCAAGGACCATCTGATCCATAAACGTGGATTCTTTAAAGAATTTTTTCCAAGGACCATCTGATCCATAAACGTGGTTTTTTTAAAGAATTTTTTCCAAGGACCATCTGATCCATAAACGTGGTTTTTTTAAAGAATTTTTTCCAAGGACCTTCTGAGCCATAAACGTGGACTTTTTAAAGCATTTTTTCAACGACCCTCTGAGCCATAAAGTGGATTTTTTAAAGAATTTTTTCCAAGGACCTTCTGACCCATAAACGTGGATTGTTTAAATAATTTTTTTTCAAGGACCATCTGATCCATAAACGTGGATTTTTTAAAGAATTTTTTTTCAAGGACCTTCTGATCCATAAACCTGGATTTTTTAAAGAATTTTTTCCAAGGACTTTCTGACCCATAAACCTGGATTTTTTAAAGAATTTTTTCCAAGGACCTTCTGACCCATAAACGTGGATTTTTTAAAGAATTTTTTCCAAGGACCTTCTGACCCATAAACGTGGATTTTTTAAAGAATTTTTTCCAAGGACCTTCTGACCCATAAACGTGGATTTTTTAAAGAATTTTTTCCAAGGACCTTCTGACCCATAAACGTGGATTTTTTAAAGATTTTTTTCCAATGACATTATTACCCATAAACGTGGATTTTTTAAAGAATTTTTTTCAAGGACCTTCTGACCAATAAACGTGGACTTTTTAAAGCATTTTTTCAACGACCCTCTGAGCCATAAAGTGGATTTTTTAAAGAATTTTTTCCAAGGACCTTCTGACCCATAAACGTGGATTGTTTAAATAATTTTTTTTCAAGGACCATCTGATCCATAAACGTGGATTTTTTAAAGAATTTTTTCCAAGGACCATCTGATCCATAATCGTGGATTTTTAAAGAATTTTTTCCAAGGACCCATAAACGTAGATTTTTTAAAGAATTTTTTCCAAGGACCCATAAACGTGGATTTTTTAAAGAATTTTTTCCAAGGACCTTCTGACCCATAAACGTGGATTTTTTAAAGATTTTTTTCCAATGACATTATTACCCATAAACGTGGATTTTTTAAAGAATTTTTTCCAAGGACCTTCTGACCCATAAACTTGGATTTTTTAAAGAATTTTTTCCAAGGACCTTCTGACCCATAAACGTGGATTTCTTAAAGAATTTTTTCCAAGGACCTTCTGACCCATAAACTTGGATTTTTTAAAGAATTTTTTCCAAGGACCCATAAACGTGGATTTTTAAAGAATTTTTTCCAAGGACCCATAAACGTGGATTTTTTAAAGAATTTTTTCCAAGGACCCATAAACGTGGATTTTTTAAAGAATTTTTTCCAAGGACCTTCTGACCCATAAACGTGGATTTTTTAAAGATTTTTTTCCAATGACATTATTACCCATAAACGTGGATTTTTTAAAGAATTTTTTTCCAAGGACCTTCTGACCCATAAACGTGGATTTCTTAAAGAATTTTTTCCAAGGACCTTCTGACCCATAAACTTGGATTTTTTAAAGAATTTTTTCCAAGGACCTTCTGACCCATAAACGTGGATTTCTTAAAGAATTTTTTTCCAAGGACCTTCTGACCCATAAACTTGGATTTTTTAAAGAATTTTTTCCAAGGACCTTCTGATCCATAATCGTGGATTTTTAAAGAATTTTTTCCAAGGACCCATAAACGTGGATTTTTTAAAGAATTTTTTCCAAGGACCCATAAACGTGGATTTTTTAAAGAATTTTTTCCAAGGACCTTCTGACCCATAAACGTGGATTTTTTAAAGATTTTTTTCCAATGACATTATTACCCATAAACGTGGATTTTTTAAAGAATTTTTTCCAAGGACCTTCTGACCCATAAACGTGGATTTCTTAAAGAATTTTTTCCAAGGACCTTCTGACCCATAAACTTGGATTTTTTAAAGAATTTTTTCCAAGGACCTTCTGACCCATAAACGTGGATTTTTTAAAGAATTTTTTCCAAGGCCTTCTGATCCATAAACGTGGATTTTTTAAAGAATTTTTTCCAAGGCCTTCTGATCCATAAACGTGGATTTTTTAAAGAATTTTTTCCAAGGACCCATAAACGTGGATTTTTTAAAGAATTTTTTCCAAGGACCCATAAACGTGGATTTTTTAAAGAATTTTTTCCAAGGACCCATAAACGTGGATTTTTTAAAGAATTTTTTCCAAGGACCCATAAACGTGGATTTTTTAAAGAATTTTTTCCAAGGACCCATAAACGTGGATTTTTTAAAGAATTTTTTCCAAGGACCCATAAACGTGGATTTTTTAAAGAATTTTTTCCAAGGACCTTCTGACCCATAACGTGGATTTTTTAAAGATTTTTTTCCAATGACATTATTACCCATAAACGTGGATTTTTTAAAGAATTTTTTCCAAGGACCTTCTGACCCATAAACGTGGATTTCTTAAAGAATTTTTTCCAAGGACCTTCTGACCCATAAACTTGGATTTTTTAAAGAATTTTTTCCAAGGACCTTCTGACCCATAAACGTGGATTTCTTAAAGAATTTTTTCCAAGGACCCTCTGACTCATAAACGTGGATTTCTTAAAGAATTTTTTCCAAGGACCCTCTGACTCATAAACGTGGATTTTTTAAAGAATTTTTTCCAAGGACATTATTACCCATAAACGTGGATTTTTTAAAGAATTTTTTCCAAGGACCTTCTGACCCATAAACGTGGATTTTTAAAGAATTTTTTCCAAGACCTTCTGACCCATAAACGTGGATTTTTTAAAGAATTTTTTCCAAGGACCTTCTGACCCATAAACGTGGATTTTTTAAAGAATTTTTTCCAAGGACCTTCTGACCTATAAACGTGGATTTTTTAAAGAATTTTTTCCAAGGACCTTCTGACCCATAAACGTGGATTTTTTAAAGAATTTTTTCCAAGGACCTTCTGACCCATAAACGTGGATTTTTTAAAGAATTTTTTCCAAGGACCTTCTGACCTATAAACGTGGATTTTTTAAAGAATTTTTTCCAAGGACCTTCTGACCCATAAACGTGGATTTTTTAAAGAATTTTTTCCAAGGACCTTCTGACCCATAAACGTGGATTTTTTAAAGAATTTTTTCCAAGGACCTTCTGACCCATAAACGTGGATTTTTTAAAGAATTTTTTCCAAGGACCATCTGATCCATAATCGTGGATTTTTAAAGAATTTTTTCCAAGGACCCATAAACGTAGATTTTTTAAAGAATTTTTTCCAAGGACCCATAAACGTGGATTTTTTAAAGAATTTTTTCCAAGGACCTTCTGACCCATAAACTTGGATTTTTTAAAGAATTTTTTCCAAGGACCTTCTGACCCATAAACGTGGATTTCTTAAAGAATTTTTTCCAAGGACCTTCTGACCCATAAACTTGGATTTTTTAAAGAATTTTTTCCAAGGACCCATAAACGTGGATTTTTAAAGAATTTTTTCCAAGGACCCATAAACGTGGATTTTTTAAAGAATTTTTTCCAAGGACCCATAAACGTGGATTTTTTAAAGAATTTTTTCCAAGGACCTTCTGACCCATAAACGTGGATTTTTTAAAGATTTTTTTCCAATGACATTATTACCCATAAACGTGGATTTTTTAAAGAATTTTTTCCAAGGACCTTCTGACCCATAAACGTGGATTTCTTAAAGAATTTTTTCCAAGGACCTTCTGACCCATAAACTTGGATTTTTTAAAGAATTTTTTCCAAGGACCTTCTGACCCATAAACGTGGATTTCTTAAAGAATTTTTTCCAAGGACCTTCTGACCCATAAACTTGGATTTTTTAAAGAATTTTTTCCAAGGACCTTCTGATCCATAATCGTGGATTTTTAAAGAATTTTTTCCAAGGACCCATAAACGTGGATTTTTTAAAGAATTTTTTCCAAGGACCCATAAACGTGGATTTTTTAAAGAATTTTTTCCAAGGACCTTCTGACCCATAAACGTGGATTTTTTAAAGATTTTTTTCCAATGACATTATTACCCATAAACGTGGATTTTTTAAAGAATTTTTTCCAAGGACCTTCTGACCCATAAACGTGGATTTCTTAAAGAATTTTTTCCAAGGACCTTCTGACCCATAAACTTGGATTTTTTAAAGAATTTTTTCCAAGGACCTTCTGACCCATAAACGTGGATTTCTTAAAGAATTTTTTCCAAGGACCCTCTGACTCATAAACGTGGATTTCTTAAAGAATTTTTTCCAAGGACCCTCTGACTCATAAACGTGGATTTTTTAAAGAATTTTTTCCAAGGACATTATTACCCATAAACGTGGATTTTTTAAAGAATTTTTTCCAAGGACCTTCTGACCCATAAA